GTTAGGTCTGAGATGAACATCATCTACAGAATTCCTGGTTGATTTTAATGGGTGGTTTGAAGGGAATTCATGTCCAAATCTGCATTTTGAACCAAACCTGCAGCCTCCTTGGAGATAAAATTTACATATTTCCTTTGGAGTCTGCTTTGCTCCATCCCTAGTACAACCACCCTCTTGTTTAGATTTGGTGAGCCTGTTTGCTAGGTACTCCAATTCCAAACTAAAAGTCCAAACACGGTTTTGAATTCTTTCTACAAATTTTTCTCCATAGATTGACCGAAGGGCAAAAGCCTCTTCTTGTCTGTGTTCTAAACATTCTTCTTGACTGGCTTCAGCAGCTGTCGCAGAAATCTGCATCTTCTCTCCATATCTTTCAGTAAAGCACTGCAATAGCAAATACTCCAATGATGCCCCAATATTACCATTGCAGGATCTCAGTACTGTTCTACATCGCTCGCTGTTAAAACCATACCTGCAACAGAACAGAGACAACATGGCAACAAGTGAATGACAGATTTGTATGAAGCAAAATAACCACAGATCTGCTTGACTAGGCTTACAGTAAGGAAGCACGTATGGCATGAGATACAATTACCACTACTGGGGGAAAAAAAACCCACACCAAAATATTTCTGCTATTTTAAATGACAGTGGCAGGCAGTAATTTGGTATCTGTGAATGTCAGTCTGTTGTTGATAAGGTGACAAATTAGTTTATGTGGCAACTATCTCAACACCTTAGAATGTAGCACATGACAAGATTAGATTTCCCCGTTGAACTGTATAAATTAAACTCTTCAGAAAAAGCTGAGTCATCTCCCATATAAAAATAGTTAAGTAATGCTCAATGTGTGAGCAAAATGGATGAAAAACACTTAAAAGGGTTTGAAACATTACCTACCTGGAAGAAATATACATATAACAGCAATGCTCCCCGAGCTTTCCCAATATCTGTTTTATTGTCTTGGAGAAAAAACTGAAAACTTCACCAAAAAAAGTCTGGAGTGACTTATTTTCATAAAACCATTATTTTGAATTCATATAGTTGAGGATTAAATTTGTAGCAGATACAAAATTAACAGTTCTGCACACAGAACTTCCCTGGAGTCAAGAGGAAGTTAAAGCACTGAGGGCTTACTGTATCAAGACTAGTGATTTACCTCTTCGGGACACAAATTATTCACTGAAAAGCATCACCTGGAGAGTTTGTGCACAGCAAACGAAGACACTTCATTTTCCACAATTCTGTGCTCAGCTAGCTCAGCAGATGACCTTGGTATCACGTCAGAAACTTCCTGATCTCTTGACCAGCACTGTTCATTATCAAGGTAATTGAGTTTGTCATCGTCTTCACCAGAACCAGCTACTCTGATAAAAAGAGTTATCAAATTAAAATGAAACAATATTATACTGTTGAGTAGACACAAAACGCTGCCTCTGCAGTCTTAAATCCTCCATTTAAATGGAGGATCCTTCTACCCCTTTCCCAGAGTTAATATTGTAGAAGAACAAAGCAGACTCAAAACCAGAGGATTTGAGATCAAATTAAAAGTTAAGGGAAAAAAGAATACTGGTTTTGTTTCTAACAGTGTGCCTGTTAAAGCATGCTCATCTAGAAGAGCCAGAATTAGTGCATCTGTTTAAACTAACTCTGATTCAGGAAACAGCTCCTGCCCTTGAAGCTCTTGAAGAAGTTCTTTCACCCTTCTCTGATTCTCCGATGTCATATGTATAGTCTGCAGAGGCATTCTCACTTCAGGTCTCCGTTTTGTTTGCCCGCCTCTTCTGGCAGGGGCATTTGATCTAAAAATTAAAATAGAACACAACAATGACTTATTTGCCTGGCTCAAACAATCTTGACTGAATTTGGATGTGTTAGCACCCAACTTTGTAATTCAAAACAGGAAAACCAAAGTAAGACAAGTCCAACAGCTAAGGATTATTCAGTTGGGTTCATTCTTATGCGACCAGGATATGTGTCTCTATATATCTGTGCACACACACACACACATATGTATTATTCTATGCCAAATCCAAAGCAAACACTTTGCATGGTAGAGCAGCTCTCAGACTACAGTACAACCATGTATTTCTAAGCTAGATTGGTCAGCATAAATTCAGGATACGAAATTCATTCTAAAATGCTTATCTTCCATGGCCCAGCTTCTGCTTTGTAATACACAAAAATTAGTATCGTGCTTACTAGTGTTTTCTGGTCAAAGGTGTTCTGAAATTAGTTTATGACCAAACCAGAAAATCAGAGTTTCTAATATTATTTAAAAAACCCACTTTCCTAGCTATGTTAAAAATGTTAATCAAAAAAGACATGCAAAAGCTGCTTCATACTGAAACAGCTTCATCACCCCTTCACTCTTCTGTATATTTAAAGATGTCCAAAAACCAGCGCTAAAGCATCCCAAACATCTTTACGCCAAACCACCCCAAATTAACAGAAGGACCTGGATTCCAGTCTTGGTTCCTCAAAGAGACAAAAATCATCTCCATCATCCCAAATTTTGTTTGAACATTTCCTATTTCCACCAAGATGAGACTTGTTTGAATGGCCACTGCTGCCTCCTCCTCTTCCTCTGCCTCCTCTTCCTTTTCCTCTTCCTCCTCCTCCTCTGTTAGGCTTTCCTCTTTTCCTCCCTGCTGAATTCATGTTCTCTTGGCTGAGGAAGGGAAAAAAAAATAGCCCTTAGTTATGAAGATGATTGAGCACATTGCAAATGTCTTGGCGCACATTACGTTATTTGTTTTTCCATGTAACATGAGAAGATACCCTCTCAAAATGCAGTTAATTATCTATATGGTGGTGTATCTGTGTGCATCTGAAGCGAAGCGCATTATCGTAGAACACTGTTATACAAGTTCCATGGTTTTAGAAAATAAAAGTAACACTCCACACAGCTGTTCAACCAAAAACTGCGGGATCTCTGGCAAAAGGATGAGCCTACCAGCAACTCTGCCCAGCCTGGGAGCTCCAGTTCTGCCACTCTCAAGGAACTTTCTCGGACATGGGAGTCCAAAGGACAAGCCTTTAGGGGAACTTTCACAGCAGAAAGCAGCCTGTGCACTGCCGCTTCTTGACTCAGGAGTTTGCAGGACTGAGAGTAAAAGGTCGAAGGGAAGCTGAAGCCAAAGATACAGTTTGTTTTCACATTAACCTGCTCCTGACCCCATTCCCTTCTGCAAGCAGCTGCCCAGACGGCTGAGCGCTCTGTGGAGCCTGGACAGGAGAGTGATTAGGGACCTGTCTTGGAAAACAGAAGCCCCCCTCTTCTTCTCACAGCAGGATCTTCACCGGCTCTGATACAAGCCCATTCGTATTAAGCAGTTGTTGCCAGTGACAGAGTGGCCCAACATTAATACACGCCCCAGCATCATGCTCCTGAAAAAGGAAAGCTATTGCAGGGACAGGTGAGAAGCTGTGGATGGTCTGGCAGGAGCTTATTACCTGGATCTTTGCACTGGCACCTCCAGAACCAGGCCAAGACAGTCCTCCCACTGGAGCTCCACCAGGACCGGACAGGATGTAACATACAAGCTGACCCCGCTCAAAGCAGCCTAGCACAAGTGAGGGAGGCTAAGAGGGCGAGCACGGCAGCTGCACACAACCGCTTGCAGCCATCCCCGAGAACACGGTCACACCGGGTCCGTCCCCATCCTCTTAACACGGAGCTCCCGGCACAGAACGGTTCCGCTCCCCCCGGTCACTTCCCCGACGACCCCTCCGCCCCCGCCCCCGCTCGCCTCTCCCACCTCCCAGGAGCGTCCCACCACCAGCACCGTGGGGATCACACAGGGATCCCCAAACCTCCACTGCAGGCCCTGCCCCTCCCTCACCGCAGCGCCCCCGTCCCCTCCTCCCGCCCCCGTTGCCGGGGCCGCGTCCCCTGCCCACGGAGCCCCGCGCACCCCATTCCTCTCCGCCCCCGGCTCCCCACGGCGCCGCTAGTCCCTCCTGGGGACCCCACCGTTCCCCTTCACACCCCCACGGGCGCCCGTTCCTCACCTCCCCGCTCCGCCCCGCTCCGGCCCAGCTCCGCGGCTCCTGGCCCGGAAGCGCCCGCCTTCCCCTTCCGGGTCGTCCCCGTCCGGCCGTCAGTCCGTCCCCTCCCTGCCCCCCAGCAGCCGCCGGCAGTTCCGCCTGGCGCTGCGGGCGGCGGCGCTCCCGTCCCCCGCCCGCCCCGCTCCCCCCCACACTGTTGGCTCAGAGACACGGTTCTTCGCCCGCTGGGCAAGGAGCCCGTTAGCACGCAGCGTCGAGATGTTTGTGTTTATTACAGCTCTGGGCAGGGGAGGGTACTAGGCATCCAAAGCGGCCAGCAGGCCGAGTGAGCCACACACACCGTATTTGTCTGATTCTAAACACTCACCTCTGTACCTAACTATTGGTATTTTATCACAGTATCATCCATTGGCTAGTTTGATTCATCAATTTCATTTTAAGTCACGGGATCTACCTATATATGCATGCTCAAAAGGTGAGGGGCTTCGTAAAGAGGTGGGTAACTTAAGTTATAGAGGTGTGGTTTTCATATTATAATGAGCTGAGTTCCCTTAAAGAACACAAAAATAGGTACTTTCTACAGAATGGTTTCAGATTACCATTCTGTTGGTCATAAATCTTAATAATACGATGGTTCTATCCTGGAACTAAGCAAGCATAGATTTGTTTATAGCAATAGCGATCCTGGTTACAACACAAAACTTAGATTCTGAGATGCAGATGATATGAGAAACTTTGCTTTTTTGTCTTTTGCCAATTTTTTGCTCTTTTATCCTTTTACAGCAACATGGTGCCCCATGGACAGGACTGACAGCTCTGCTATAACGAATGGCACACTCAAGCAGCACACTGATATTTATGTACCGTTTCAAGCTGCTGTGTATTTGAATATATATATTTGAATATCAGACAACAGTTGTAAACAGTGATGATGGCTGCTTCTTTCTCAGAAGATCCTGCAGTTTTTAAAGTGTCTTTCATACTCCCAAATAAAGACAAGTGTGGCAAGAAAATCTAATTCCTTTTGCAAAACTGAGTGGGATTCAAACAGAGGAAATCTATGCCAGTTTCAGGGTGAGGGCTACTTAAATTACAAGTGACTCTGAAGCTGCACAGCTGAGTTGGGGAGGCCCCTCCAGAGATCCCCAGTCCCCTGCGCATGCAGGGTCACTGACGATGGTTGCCTTGGACTGTATCCCACTGGCAGGTCTTGAGTATCCCCATGGATGGAGACTCCACAACCCCTCTGGGCAACCTGTGCCAGGCTGGAGGTTAAAGCAAACAATTTTACCAGCAAAAACGGACTATCGTCCAAGTAACACACTGCTTTGTCTGCGTAAGAACTGCCATAGACACACAGAAGCCGCTGTAGGGGTGTTTCCTCAGGGTCCTCCTGCGGACAGCCACAGCCACCGCCCTGACAGTACACTGAGGTCTGCTCTGCCCCGTGCCAGCTCCCCAGCACCCCCCCAGTGAGGCTCAGTGGTGAAAGGATGGGTAACGGGACTGCTGCTGGCTTGCACGCCGTGCATGGCACCCAAAGGCTTCAGCAAGGCTTGCGTGCTCCAGGGGCCTATCTCTGGGAGCAATCTGTCTACAGGAGAGAGAGTCATCTCTGGGAGAAACGTCGCTGTGCAACAGAAAAAATGGATTGCACAATCTCAGAGGATTTGCCTCTCAGATGCTCTCTGTCTTGAAGTGAAAATACCTGTTTTCCACCACTCTCATTTTCTAGAGGGGCAGTGCAAAAGGACACCTGAGGGTGTGCTCGAAAGGACTGGTCATGGAGTTCACCCCAGTGCCAATGGAACTACGTATGTGGGCAGTTGGAAAAACAACAAAGTAATTTTCAGTATTCATTCATTTTAACTTACTCTGGGTTTGGAATGGAGCACGTCTCAGTATATCCCCCCTTAAAAAGACACAGAAAGGAAAATCATAACCTGAGAAGGATCAGACCAGTGCCGCACACTCTTTTTCTATCTGGGAATCTTGTCACAGCCTCGTCTGAAGACTGGAGACACTTAGGGTCTTCAGATGTCCTGCTGCCTCCGGAGGCTTCTGCAAACACACCGGTCATTGCTGGCAGGCAGGCGCTGGAGAAACACCCAGGCGATGTAGCGCTGGTGGTGCCTCGGACAGCCCAGCCACTGTGAAAGGCCTGCGTGAAAGGGCTGTGCTCACACAGGGGCTAGGCATGGCCCTCCTGCACGTGTAGATTTGCCACACACACATCCCACAGTGAAACAGGGGAGCTCTGACCATTGACAGATACACCACTGTTTGGCTGCCCTTGGTTATGCAGTTCTCCAGGAATGAATTAGTAAGTATAGGAAGATTGCTTTTGTTGATGCTGGAGAGGAGGCGGTCCTTAAAATGAGAAATAAGGCTCTGCAATTAGCAAACAGCATCTTGTGGATTTATTAGATCTAGTCTGGCCGTTTTTTCAGTCTCTTACAAAAATATTGGTGCAATGATAAGAATTAAGATTATGGCACAGAAGTGCTTTACAGCACAGATTTAAATCCTAGGCCATGGCTTAGTGGCCTAGGCTGAACAAATAAAAGACTTGTTCTGCCTTGATCCACAGAAAGAAATTCCAGAAGATATAATTAACCCCTCAGGCTGTCAGGGTAGGTGAGTTATTTGCAGCGCTGGGGACAGTAGTTCCGTGCAGCATAGATTGTTAAGATCCAGGTGGTCCTGATTTGAACTTGTGATATCAACTAGCTAAAATGATGATGTATGTATACCCCTGGCAGCAGAGATCAAATCTTTGCCAGCTACTGCCGTTTTCACCATGGAATTAAGACTTCTCTTTTTGACACTGCTTTGTGACTGTTAATACGCGCCACTCCCTGACAGCTCAATACAGGCTATTTTGCCAAGTTTCAGAATTGCTAGTTTCCACCCACTCAAGTGAAATAGGCATCAGTTCACCAGATCACTGTGGATTTCATGAGAGAACATAAATAGGCAGCACCATAGCAACTTGCTGTGACTGCTACGTGGCTTCATTTTTTAAGGCAAACACATCTCCAGTAACTGATTTTAAAAGTTACTTTCTCCTCACTTGCAAGGGATGCTGATGCATAGACATTTCTTCTTTATAGTAGTTTTTCAGGTATAATGATGAGCTTGATCAGAGCTTTCAAAGATCAGCAGAAATATGTGGTCTATGAAGATGGAATTCACATGGCAATTACATTTTTTCCTCACAGGAGGCTGTAAATCCTTGCACTTTGTCATAAGAGCACGTAGCAGGATGGGGAAAGGGTAAGAGATGATGGATTTTTACAGCAAGGAGATTCAATGTAACTGACTGCATATACTTACCCATCTTTAAGATGGCCCTAATGAAAGTCAGGATAAACTTCACAGGACTTAATTCCCGGTAATTTCAAATAATGACTGGGACTATGAAGTTTTTCCTGTAGAGGATACATGCTGGGAGGATGTTAGTATAAATACAGTTTTCAAATAAAGGAATATATTCCTTGGCTGTCTAACCTGTGTGCTTTCTGGGTCAAAACTTTTATAGGCTACAATGTGGGAGAAAGTTAAGGCAGGTACTTCTACTATACTGGCAAGGTTCTGATTCCTGACAACTTGTTTATCTGTGTAGTGCATACATCACCATGCTGCCACAAACTGCATTTTCAACAGGCTGGATTTATGTCATTACAGGATGGAAAGTGAAGGAGACTGTATAGATGAAAATGGAATAGCACATTTCATGGTTTGGCAGCAGTGGGACTGAAACAGAAATTGAAAATGCAGCTATTTGGCACGGACAGTAGCACGGGTTAAAGGCAGCTCTCTGATTACATTCTGGACTCAACAGCTGTGACCAGTTTTCAACAGGCATTGATTTCTTCATATATTTATTAAAATTAACCCCTGAGGATGCATGTCAATAGTAAATAAAATGAAGTTTGTTTTCTTTTCAGACTGATTAGTTGAAGTGTCCTCAGTGAAAACCTTAAAGAAATGAAGTTGGATAGGGTGAATTTATAAGCGGAGCGGTTGATGACTAGAATTCTTTTTTTTTTAATTGTAACTTGCCCTAGTAATGTCTTTCTCCCCAAGTTTCAAAAAACCTGTCATCAACACATGAAGCCTAATTTATGCTTAACTTTTGTAACTTTCCCCAGGAAACAAACCTCACCACCCAGCAAAGCTTTTGCAAACACAGTGCTCCTATGATCATGCTTACCCTAAGCTCGCTGCTGCACAGTAGGGTCAGGGCAGAGAGCAAGTACAGATGTAACATGGTAGTTACTCCTCATAGGTCAAGTCCATAATCCCCAGGCGCTGATACCAGGCTGCTCATGGACAGACCTCTACCACACACCAAAGCTGCTTTGTTCTGGGAAGTAGATGGGAGAACGCACAGGGGAGACCAGTCGTTGCCACTGTCCCATCAGAAAGTCTCGTGCAGTGAAAAAATACTTGTTTGCATTTGGTCATCAAAGGCCTCTGTACTACGAATCTAAATACTTTGCTTTGCAAAGCAGAAAAACTGCTTTCTAGTTTAAAAAAATAAGTCCACAACATACCCGTGCTGTCAGGAAAAAATGTGTGTTGAGTCTTTGCTTGCCAGATATTTAATGGAGTTTTAGTAAATACCTGTCCTTGCCTCCATTTGCAGACACAATGTACAAATGCTGTTCCTTCAGAGGTGCCTTCAAATACTCAGTTTCTTTTGCTAGGAATTGGAAAAGCCTTGGGCCCCGTGCTTTATTAGCAAAGAGAAAAAACAGCACATTGTCATCAGACAGAAACATACTGGGCCATCTGAAGCAAAGCAGCTCATGGGTCATTTGGTAATATAACACCTTTCAGTCATTTTTCTTAAAGCTGCCTGTAGGAAAATCTCTATTTGAAATGTTTTGTTCATAGATTTGTGAAGCTAAATGTTTTTATTTATTAAAAAAAAAATAAATCTTTCATAGCTTGAGCTGTTTGTTGAATTCACAAGTATCTTTGACCCACAAAAAAAATGCACTTTCCAAAAACCTCCTTCAGAATTATCATTTTATTTTGTTCAATTTTGGTTTGCTCCTGAAATAGCCAGCTCCAAAAAAGAAATAGTGTCCTCCGTCCCTAACACTCGACTTCAGAGGTAGCAGCCTGTTAAGCCATGAGCCTGTCCTTTCAGCTCCTTTGCTAGGGCTCCACATCACCACATTTATCCGTGCTGCACAGCAGTTATACTGATTTAAGCTGTGCAGTTTTATATTTCAGGTTTTCTGCCTGAAGGGTATCTTTGAAGCAGATCTTTGTCTTTCAGGGAGAAATTAGTCTGCCTTTTGTTACTGTTCCTCCTCCTTTATGTCTCCCTGCCCTAATGCTTTGAGTAACTCACTGGACTGGCTCAAACCCTTTCCTGACATCCCAGGCTTTGGGTTACCTGCATTCTCCCCACGCTTTTTTGATGCCCTTCAGAGCAAAAAGCCCTGCAGGACTTTAGTGAAGAAATGGAGCTGGCGTGGAAGGCTACTGCCTCCCACTCTCCCACCTCCTTCCAAGCCCTTATTTATTTTTATTCAAAGGAAATTTTTCACGATTTAACAAGCAACGGAAAATACAGAAGTGCTGGTGGTTGCTGTTCCCATGCTCTGGCCACTTTAGCAACCTTGCTCTTGGCCCCTGAATGAAAGAAGGGGAACTTGGCCCTGGCATCCCTAGTGGGGCCATGCACGGTAGGAGATTGAGGGTGTCAGAAAAAGTGGGGAGGAGCTGGCCCCGTCTCCCTGTCCCCAGCTGCAGGCTGCCTCGCTTGGGTGCCACAGGAGGTACTTAAGAGCCTCTGAGCTTGGTGAAGTAGCAGAGACTGCATCAGAACCTGGCTCTCACCACATGGTCCCCTCTGCCCATCACTGCACAAGGCTTCTCACCCTCCCTTCACAGCAGCGTGCAGTTCTAATTAAAACGGAAAAAAGCCAGTATCATCTTCTTCCAAGAGCACAGTCCTGATTTTTGCATGGGGATGCAAGGATGTGACCTGAAGATTACATAATTAGAAGACATTTGTTATGCTTGCGTTTCAAATCAGTGATTAGCATGTGACAGTCCCATCCTGGGAAACGTCAAGCCACCATTGCTTTCCTCTCTCTCTCCTTTCTTGCACAGTGCTAATTCCCAACTCTGGCAACCGCCAGTGCTGAAGGATCTTCAACTAGCCTGGGGTAAGTTTAAAATGTACTCAGCATGGGATGAAAAGTGGGATTAATAATACCATTTTTCATGTTCTTGGAAAAAGCTAGAGCCGTAGCTATTTAATATTGCATGTGCAGCACATAAAATGGTATTTAAAGTATTTTGCATCTTCAGTGCCCACAGTTATTTCCAGCTGATTTCTTCTAAGATTGTGCATGGAGATCTAGCTTCTTAGTGTGCTGAAGAATCTTGTGAGGCTGCATTTGTATTAAGGTCTATAAAATACCAGGTTAAAAGACCTTTTTTTCTCTTACCACTTAAGAGCTAAATCAAGATATCATGCTGAATTGAAGTATTTGAATAACAACTCCATTAGTTACCTGGAGACAAAGCGTGAGAGTGATGAGAGTAAATCACTGATTTTTTGCTCTCTTTAGAGGACTGGGGGTTGTTCTCCAAGTGGGCTATTTAAAACAGCCAGCGATCTCAGCTGGCAGGATATAGTCACCAGGAAGATCCCAAGCATTTATTTAGATCTGTGGATGTTTAACAACTGAAGCAGCAAAAGTGCATATGGATTCCCCTGCACTGTTACCCATGTCATGATTTCAGAAGCAGAATGAGACAGAAAACCAAACAAATAGTAACAGTTGTCCATCAAGGCTAGGCTGTAAATGCTTTACTGAACTTTGCCTGTTAGCATGCTGATGCTTGGGGTATTTGGTCGGTCTTTTTAACAAGTGGTCCTCTGCACAGTTGGTTGTTTCTCCCAGTTATGCCAGTCCATGTGGGGGGAGCACTGGAGGGGTGAGCATGGTTACACAAATGCAGTGCAGGCTGCAGGACCTGCCTCCCCTCCCTCCCCCCACGCACAGCTTTTGTGGGGGAATCCCACCCCTGTGCTGGCTCAGTGGCACCTCACTCCAGTCTTCAACCCCATGCTTGGGGCATAGCTAAAGAGGGCAACCCACTGGCACATTCCTGTCCATCCACACCTTCTCCCTTGGGGATCTCATGGGAAATGGGTGCTGGATCAGGCTCTGTTAACTTTCACATGCTGCCCACGATGTGCTGGGGGAGCTGCAGTGCCAGCTGCTTGCGCAAGACACCAAGATAATATTCTTTGCTGGACACCAGTGGCAAGAATCATGGTGACCACTAATGGGAGAGGTGGCACTCAGCTTCTGTTCTTGGGCTCGGCAGATTTAGCAGCTGGGAGGAAGATAGGGACAATAGGGAAAAATACTTCATTTTGCCATGATGAAGGAATCTGGTGGCTTTAGCACCCTGAAACTGTTCTCTGGGCTTTTCTTCAGAGATGTCATTCTGTCTTGAGGAGAGCTGCAGGAAGGTAAATGAGTTTCAATGCTCAGCTCTGAAGAAACAAGCACGTCTTTGCCATTTCTTGTCCCTAAAGCAGGGGGGCCATGGGCTTTGGTTATGGGACAAGACAGTCTGCTGATGGCTTCATGTGACTGGGTGTTGAGACTATCCAGTGGGGATCTTGCAGAGGAACAGCAGCATCTCCTTGATGATGAGGAAGCTGCCCTGTGGTGGGCTGACACATTAGGCAAACCTTGCATTTGCTGTGGGTGGGGGCCGGATGGTGGTTTTGGAAAGCAGCCTCATGGAGGGCTTGCTCTGGCTGCTGATGTGCACATGCGTTCATGTATGTGAATATGAGAAGGGGTTGAGGGTGTGGGGCTTGCTCACTACTGAGAAAAAAAGTTTAAGGGGGATTACTCTTGCAGCTTTTAATTGCCTCAGGGTGGGCTATAAAGCAGACAGAGTCCAGAGCCTTCCCAGAGGTGAACAGTGAAAGGCAATGAGCACAAGCTGCCGCAAAGGGAAACCCTGACTGAATGTAAGGAAAAATATTCTTCCTCAGGGTACTGGAGGGCCCAGATAGGCTAAGAAGACTCCAGTGTGCGAAATATTCAGACTTGAGCTGGATACAGCCCTGAGGAGCCTGATCTAGTTTGGAGTTAGCCTTGATATGAGCAGGAAGTTGGACTAGAGACGTACAAGGCTCCTACTCGCCTAGACTGCTGTGAGCTAGGAGTTGTTTGCTGCCAGAAGAAGCAGGACCAAGCAGACCACAGCCAGGGTCTTAGGGCCAAATGTCAGTCCTATTTTCCAACCCCTCTTTACACCCTTTAGGGACAAGCCAGGCACTGTTCAGCCAACTCAGGCTGACTGAAACTCTTGTCCCTGGTAGTTCCCCACCCAGTAGTCAGGGGAACAGAGGACAAGCATTCACTGCAAACCATAGTGAGGTGTATGCCTTGTTTTAGTGATGAGGAAGGGCTGACTAGTTTTGCAATTCAGATAAACGAGGGACAGGCAGACAATGTTATATATTCACAGAGTCCAGCACTGAGCCCTAAATGCTGGAAAGTAGCCAACATAATGCAATTATTTCATGTAACAAAGAACGGAGGGGTGACTCAGGAAATTGCAGGCTGCAGCTAGAGGACACATGAAAGACATTTACTCTGGTATAACAGGGAAGATTTCCTGGACCCACTTAACCAAGGTCACCCTACTTTCCAGTGCGGTCATATAGCAGAGCTCCTGGTGGTGCAGGGAGCAGGAGGGGATAGTGGCATCCCTGGTGTCCCAGTTTCAAAGCCTCACTCCTGAGCTCT